AATGATTGCCTTTTAAGTAGACAGCCAACATGTGTCATGGGCCACAGAATCCTCCTTCTTCAAGGCTTGAATGTGTAGGAGATAGACAGCAGTTGTTCTATAAAATGCACAGCAAATCTGAGTTGATCAAAACACTTCAAGCAAAGCTGGAGGATGCCGACTGTCAGGCTTATGGTTAGGGAGAAACTACAAATCCCAAAATACCTTTCTTATCTAGAAACCTGTACTGAGAAATGTGCAGGCCGCCATTGCTGACCTCCTCCTCAAAAAGCTAGTTGCCTGGCCATGTTTATTTACTGACCTGGAACGTGCAGACAAACATTACTCCTAATCTGCATTCGTTTTTCCAGGTCTCAAAATAATGGATTGGTTGATAAGCAAAGCAGCTAGAAAAGTAGAATTTGCTTAGAAGGTCAGTAACCCCCATATTCTTCTCAGCACATTTTTACTTTAATGCTTCACTCAACAAAGTTCATGTAAATATAGATCCTCAATAGCAATTGGGGATATAAATCCACCTTGTGTTAGTCACATGCCTTTGCAAATCCAGTTATTACCCTGTTAGGTAGCAGTGACATCATCACTGTGCTGCACATAGCCTGAGCAGAGCTGTGGGAGGGACTAAAGGAGGGGGCGGGTACAAGACCAATGATACAAGGAGAGAGAGCAGCAGTGACCGTTCTTTATTACAGGACGCTCTACCAGAAGTTTCACATGGGATTACTGCACAAATCTTGAAGAAGTACACAAAGCACACCAAGATTCAAGTAACAATACACACGACTCTTGTATTTAGACAGCACTTGCTTACCCTTGTCTACAGCTGAGCATTCTTCTTTCCACTAAGGGCCAGGCAGATCCTGGCAAGGTCATCGTCAGCTGTAGAGTAACCTCTTAGCTATGTCTACTCGGTGAGTATGCAATGACATTTATCAGAATAGAACTGGCAGCTTTTATACTCCATGGCCAGCACTGGGCCAAAGAGCCTCTTTATAAAATCAGATGATGGAAAATAGCTGTGTGTTTAAAAAGAGAGGAACTACAGAACACCTCTCCATATGAAAAGCAGGCCCGTTTTGAATGAATAAGGCTCATCAGACAGATATTCTTTTACTCAGCAGAGCCTGTGGAACACTTCTACTATGATTTGAAGTAACCATGAGCTTATAGCAGAAGTGAGGTTACTGACCTGGTTCTGCTCGGTTGTATCCCTTACAGCTGTGGCAGCAAAAGAGTTAAAAGCCATGTCATTTCCTCCATTCAGTTTGTGGCTCGGAAACAGAATAGACTAGACCAGGGGGACCAAACTCAGCCCCCCAAGCTCTCTAAAGGAACAAGTCACAATCCACTCACTCACCTTGCACTGCAATGGGCTCAAGCACTCCTACATCTTTAGCACTGCTACATTCTGGCTCTGGTAGGGGAAAGATGGAAGATGATGTATATTAAGTAGCACATGAGGAAGGTGGGGAATGTCTAAGGAGCGTACTTCATTAGTAACTTTAGAGAAAATCAAGATTTCCAAAAGTGGGATTGCCAGCTCCAGATTTCATCACTCTCAGTCCTGTCTGAGTAAGGGCTTGTCCATGAAGATAGCCTTTCTGATGGCATTGCCTAAAATTAAGAGGGCTGCCAAGTTCAGAGCCTTTGGCTACAAGGAACAATTTTTCACATTCTACCCAGTCCAGGTTGTCCTTAGTCATGTGCTGGGATTCCGTTTACTTCAAAGTGGCTTCAGCATCTCACAAGAACGAAGAAATAGTTCTCTCCACATGCAGGACGACTGAAGATGATTACATCTATACAATGGATGTGGACAGGACACTACAAGCCTACTTTCAAAGCCACAGCTTCATTTAGAGATCTGGACCGTCTCTTTATCACTTCCTCTGGTTAGATCACAGGAAAGCAAGCAGCATCCAGAACCATTGCTGCATGGATCATGCTACCGATCCAAATGGCTTCTAAGGAAAAATGCTTGGCTCCTCTGGAGGTGGTGACAACACACTTCACCAACTTTGTGGGCATCTTCTGCTCATGTGGTATCGGAAGTCATTCGTAAGGCAGCGACATGGTCCTCCACTAATTCCTTATTGGCCTTAAAAGGTCTGCTGTGGTGTTAGTCATGAAGACGGAAAATTCTGCGTAGGAGAAAAAGAGTGCCAGTCTTCCTAATACCAGCATATAAGCTCTCTGGGACTTAAGCTAGCCAAACATGACTAAATGAGAAAAATCACCCAATTCCCCCATCCACACTAAACAGCATGGCTGGAGGAATCTACCCCTGCTATTGTATTCAGACAGCCAGCACCCACAGCATCTGATTGTATGCAGTTACTAGTTGGCCAACAATTTCCCCCCCAGCTGCTTTGATTTTGTAAATAAGGTTGGTCAAGCCAGGTGGTGCCAACAGGGTCACCCAAGGCTCCAATTTTTGTCTGATTCAAGTATCAGCTGAAATTCAAGCTTGTATAACTAGCATATGGGGTATGTATAAAAACGAGAACTATGAGGCGAGTGATTTCCACTAATCCTCATAGTTAGTGCCGACCTGTGACAAAGAAGCTGTCACAGGTCGGCTCTATTAATTGGTAAGTGAGTGAACCCATACCGTCGCTCGCTTACTTTCCGATCATCTCCCTGCAGAGAGCCGTGACTGTCAGTCATCGCTCCCGACAGGGATTTCCCCCCTCCGATCCTCCAGCGCTGACTGGAGGAACCGACGGGAGAGTGGGCGGGCACAGCTGGCTCTGCATCTAGATAGGCAAAGCCCGCTGTCAATCAGCCAGCTGAGTGGATCTCAACAGTATTGTCGGGATTTGTCCCGGCTGCGGCGCTCTCAGTATATTGCGGGCAATACGGTGAGGTAAGCCCGGTCACATGACCTGGCAGTCACATGATCAGCTCTCCTACATTAATGGAGTTCTCGCTGCTTAACATCACAACCCACATTTTATGAATGGGTCACAATACAGGCAGCGGTTTATCCACTCTCTGTTATAAATTGGCCCCTGAGAGAAGGAAAATGTGAATCGGATTGGCTGCTATACATCTCCAGCTACTCACTTCCTTTTCTTCATTTTTCTCACATTAGACCCTGAAGTTTTTTGCATGGAGAGATCATTTGTTTTACCATTTCATTTTCAGACAGTGTGAAAACACATTATTTCCTGTGAACACTAGAAAAGCATTTGGAGACATTCAAGATATAAACACACTTTATTATTGTCAATCAAATACTGTTATCCAGCGTTTCTTGCACTCATGCACTGTTATAACAAGATACTGATCATTCAGTAAGTATTTTTTTTTTTAAACAATGCTTAACATATACTTTATTGATATACAGCAAAGTTATTTACGATGCACCCTGATTTTTTTTAAATTTTTGTAAACTGATTATTTAGAAATAACATGTAATTTGGTTCCGGAAAGTAAAATAAAAATGTACAGGTCTCCTTGTTGGTTTGAGGTTAAGATTTAGGAGTGCAATGTGGCACAAGTTGATACACATGTGTTGTGGTGTGTATACAGTACACGCACACACAGGAGAAGTCCACCCAAAACGGCTAATTAGTAAGAGTTGGATGCGATAGGTTAAAGCGCTTCTTTGTGCATCTCTCCGGCCTTGTTCACACCGAAAGCGTGTGCGTTCCAGAGCGGCAGCTTCTGGAACGCACCGCGATCGCTGAGAAACTTCCCCTTGCGTTTTGGGACGTGGCGGTGCATTGTATTCAATGGCACCGCTTCCACCCCCCCACCGTGCGATCGAACGCCTGGCAAAACTTTGCCAGCGTTCTGTTCCACTGCAAACGCAAAAAATAGGGCTGCGAACAAGCCCTCAAGGACTATTTACCTCTCTGGAATTACCTGTTCAGCCCACTCTGCAACCTGGGTCTTGCTGTTCCCCCTCCTGAAGAGAAGGAGCAATAGCCTGTGTACTGCATTTACCATAATGCAAAATTAAAGGGTTATTAAACCCTTGCGTGTTTTTGTATATATCTATTACTAGCAAGCAGTAGATATATGGAAAAACATAAAAAAAAATAAAATCAAAAAACACCTTTTAAAAAGGGTTTAAACTTACCTTCTGTCCTCACCACGCGCTCCCGTCCAAACATCTGAAGAGTCTCGGGCAGCCACAAAGGATCTTGGGGCAGGCGCATGCGCACTTCAGATGTTCGGCCGGGAGACGAGGAGAGACACAAGGTAAGTCTATGGAGCACCGTGCACCCACACAGACTCCGTGGGACCTCAGAGGAGGACAGAGGAGTCAGCGCTGGATCGGAGACCCGCACCAGCGCTGGAGGGACAGCTGAAAAGGACAGTAAAGAACATGATGATCGGATGAAGAGATATAATTTAACGTAAGTCCCTACAGCAGGATTGGGAAGGGGGGGGGGGGGAAACTTTTTTAATGTCACTTTAAGGAGTGTGATATCCTCATGAAACAAGCAGACAGGAGAGCAGACCTAAGGACTAAGCTATAGAGATCTCATCAACACAGTTCCTGCAGATCTAGAGACTTAGGTTTGTCATACACAGCTCGTATTTCAGCTAAGGAGTCAGCATAAATTCCAACCATGGTGGCTCTGTCGGCTAAAGAGTGACTGCATTCAATTAAATGAAGTCACTGTGCGGATATTCGGACAGCTGAGTGAATACAATAGCCGTCAGGGGAGATTTCTCCGTCAAGCAGCTTAGTGTGGATGGAGAAATCTACGCGTGTATGGCTAGCCTTAGATCTAGAGATCTCACCAACATAGTCCTCAATAAAAGAAAGTTGTACTACCCGACAGCATTGGATACTAGTTTTGGGTAGACTAATAATCTTTGGGAGTCCAAGTCCTTCCACATCCGATTACAGATCAGGGCTGAAACTGGTGAACTAAACTGCCCATCAGTTTTAGATCTCTCAGGGACACAACTCCGAAATAGTTGAGACAGACCTTGCCACAGAAGGGCAGAAGTATCCAATTCCCTCCGAAATATAGAACAGGCTTTAACCCCATGGCCGTCTACCCAAAATGGAAATATCCAACTGTGTATGGATTGCCTCGAAAAGAAAACACTGTGCATAATAAAATTCATACATTCCGAATGCATGAGAGAAAACGGGTTAAATACAGAGAATTACTACCTTGTGCAACAGAGCATTGTAATCATCATGGAATTATATAGACCAATTATACATTTTAGACAAGGTTTTCGGAAGAAAAAAAAAAAGTTATTCATTTGGTTTGAAGAAAAAAAAGAAATCGGATTATATGAAGATCTCGCCTGTCACTCTCTTGTAGCATCTTCAGGAACTCAAGTTGAATATTTCACAGTGACTTGTCTACCAATGCTCAACCATCTACAGTAAACTCCTGCAAAGGCCTGATGGCTTTTACTATATTGCTGCCAAGGTGGTTTTCCCTTTCCTGCGATTGTCCAAAGAATCGGTCGCTTGATCTTCTAGCTGTCCATATAGCCTTTAAGTCCTGTCATTTGTGATTGTATATCTTCTGGTAGCTCGAGGGGAGGAAGTTCTGGTAAGGGAATGTCTAAAGAAGGAAGGTTGGGTATAGGAATGTCTGTACCCTTGCCTGTATTTGCTACAAACTTCTGCCAGGTAGAGGTTGGGTTGGCTCTTGGCTGCTGCAGGCTCCACAGTTCAGACTTCTCCACGAAATCCGTGTCCAGGTCCAGGTCCTTCTCAGGGTTTCTCTGGAGCCGCGCCAGCTCAGCCCGTAGCTTCCGGTTTTCTCGTTTTAGCTTCTCGTTTTCGGCCAGGAGGCTGTCCACCAGCAAGTTCAGATCTTTGATCTTGGTTGCTTGCTCTTCCAGTCTTGTTTTGTCGTCTTTCGGAACACGGTTGGCCTTGTAAGGCTCCAGTGGCTCCTTCCTCTTCTGCAGCAGATATAGTAAAGAGTCTGGTTCTCGGTCAAGGACACTGTGGATTCCCTGCAAACACTTCCCTGGGTTAGAACTGGATTTCTGCCCTGCAGAAACAAGTGCGTTTTGGCTGTCGACGTCATCGGTAGATGATTTGTATGATGTTTGCAGGTGGGCAGTGAGCTCCTTCTCTGCAACTATTGCTTTTTGTTGAGTTCTTAGTTTCTCTTCTCTTTTGGCTCTTTTCAATCTTTCCTGAATTAGGAGCTGTTGCTTCAGGTGACTCTCCCGCTGCAGCTCTAGAGACAGCTGAGCCTACACAGAATGAGAGTAAGAAGTGTTACTTGTTATGATAAATGATTCCCAATGGCTGTTTTAACCAGTTGACATCCGCGGTGTTAAACCCCCTTCCCATCCAGGCCATTTTTCAGTAAGGTGAAAGAATGAGAACCTGCATTGGTCTGGATATGAATTTTATTAATAACGATAAATAGACCTATCAAGAGACCCTTCCATTGTAACAAACAAAAATTCATATCTGGACCAATCCCTAAACATGACTCTCTCATCATTTCACTACATACACGCTTACTCTCCCAGGGACCCCACTGGGGCTCCAGCAGCAAGTATAGAGTTGCCACGCTACAGCAATCATTGAACCTCCACCAACCTTGGAGTCCAGTTCTCTACCACCCAAATTCCAGAAGAGTGAGGTGACTTGGGAGCAAAGCAGTGAAAGGTCCAATGAGCCCTGGCAACTGGTCAATAATTAGGAGCTATGAAAAAGGTAGCTGTTAAGGAGGCCAGCTGTTACACCCCTGCAGAGGAAGCTGCCCCTAGGACAGCCAAGGTTACCTATGATAGAAATGTCAGCAATCAGGGGTTTCAGCTGCCATGTTTTACCGGCACCCGAGTCTGGTAGAACATGTTCCTAAATATCAGACTAGCATTATATATTTAATAGCAGACTTTTCCCAGAACCCAGAGGCTGAGCTTTACAGAATGCAGGCCCTAAATCCTATAAGGACCACACTTTATTGATACAGGCCTGTGACAAGCCCATAAATTATACAACGCAGATTCTCAACCGATGACACATACAGTCCAGGTGGCACTTCTAATTGATCTTGTATTTTACAATAATGTCATCATAAAAAAGTGTACAATGTTAGCAAATTACCGTACATATAGATATCACAGAATATTAGTTATGGATTGTAAAACATGTATACACAATGATGTGGTAGCAGTAATAAAAGTACCCATGTGAAGAGGTACTAACCCACATCAGGAGGTGCCTGGAAAAAAACCAATGCTCATCTTCTATTTGAGGCCACTTTTCCTATTTAGATCATAATGTGGTACAAAAATAGAACATCAATGCTTTCTCCGCTGTGATCTTTTATAAAGCCGGTTATCATCAGTCAGCCCAACAAAGATGAGCACCGGCACCTGGCCTGGGTACAGGATTTGCATATCACCTTTTCCCTTACTGCATAAACCTATTCATTGGTTGTATTTTCTCATTGATTACAACATGTGGAGTAAGAAAGATCGAGATGCATCATGAGATGTGTTTTCCTTTCACATTCACAATTCCTCATGACAAAGCCACACACACACACAACCTAAAATTCACATCTCTGCATGTGCCTGGCAATGAGACGTATGAGTGGCAGTGTGCTGCGAACAAGGAATGTGTTGGATCCTCACAATTGGTTAGCCTTCTACACAATACATTTGATGCAGCTTACCTGCTCAGACTGTGTAAGCTTCTTGGCTTCCAAGAGATAAGCTGTGAGAAAGAAAAGAAAAGCGTGAGAGGGTAGGACAGACAGATTGCCACTAGAGGGCCACAGACATCACACAGAGAATTCTGCACTGCCGAGTACTATACGGCACGCTGTGTAGAGTCTCTATACCCCCTTTACAGCTTTCCAGACATGACAAGAAGGCAACACATAATGCTGGGCGCATCACTCTACAACACAAGGAGCACACTGCTCTCCCTTTTAGATTTTACACAGAAATGCCGAACTGCAAAATCATAGGTTTTCATTTAGTCATTTTTTACAATTTAGTTATAGGAGACCAGTACTGAAAGAATATGAAGGCTGCCATTGCTGGCAGTCGCTCCTCAAAATGCTAATTATCTGGCTAAGCAGAATCAATACTTCCTGTGTTGCTAACCCTACCTATAGTATAGTAACCAGTATAAGAATTCCCACTTCACTCAGACTTTCTAATCTGCAGGGACTGTGTCTTCTGAGATTGCAAAATGATCTAGACGAATGTCCTCAGGTTCATCCATATCCATTCATGAACTGTACTGGGCTCTGCTTCTGTTCCAATACGAATGTCAGCACTGCAGACACAGACTTGTCATTCTCAAGGTTCCAGGGCCGGGACTCAAAGTACCAAAGCCAGAGACAGCCAGGAAACTAGCAGTGTCAGGAGGTCATCACCCTAGGAAGCCTGCGTACAGGTTTCTTTCATAGTGAACCCATATCTCACACCATTCTGACATGTGACCAATACAGCACCAATAGACACGCACTGGTCACATGCCCAATCACACTTCCAGTTATTCCAGAAGAAGAAATGAAACACTTTACAGGGTAAACACATTTTCAGACAACTACAAAAAGAGAGTTAATCATCAAAATATAAAGAATGGGATAATACAACAACACAAACACTGTGGGGGCCACTGTGTAGTGAAGTGAAGGGTATGTTTGTGCTGCCCTTTACTACTCAGCAGCAGGGAGGCTTCCCACTCAGAGCTTGTTGGTTGCTAGGGTGCTGGCATGCTAGCAACCAATGATGCATTGTTAGCCCCATTCAGCTGCTGGCTGGGGGATTTTCTGGCAAACAACAGAATGGGGTCAGGGATGCATCATTGGTTGCTAGGATGCTGTTGACAGCACAGCTAATGGCAACCTAGCAACCAATGACGTTGTGCAGCCAACAGCATCTTAGCAACATGGACCGGGGACAGATTGTTTGCAGTATGGACTGCAGTATGCCCCCACCCCCTCCTTTTGCCTCCATGACATACCTGTCAGAAACATGAACCAGGCAGACACAACACAATTCTAAAGAGTGGGCACAACACGGAATTCCAGGGACTGTCTTCTGAGATTGCAAAATGATCTAGCCTAATGGCCACATTCATCTATATTACTATCCATATAACTAATGTCCATATACATGGATGAACCGTACCGGGTTTTGTTCCAATACGAATATCAGCACTGCAGACACAGACTTGCCATCCTCAAGCTTTACCTTCTGCATTATTTGTTTTTTCACTTCCTGGGCTCTTTGCCAAGCGGAGATATTATCATGATAATGTTATGCAGAACTCCACATTTATTTCCTGCAGATAAATAAGATCGTGGAGCCTGGGCAGATGTGTTGTTTTGTATCCTCCAGATTGCCTGTGAGCACATTGCATTGACACAACATACACTGCTGAGCTCTGTCAGCTGCTCCCGCTCTTTCACATGAAGATGGACTATGGTTCATTAATTCTCACAGTGTTCATCGTGCAAACCTTTATTTCTATTATTTCCACTCAGTAGAACGCCATCATTTCCATTTTCCAGGCAGGCGCATGGAGCACAAGAACATGAAATAAAAGAAGTATTACATCCCAAGATCCAAAGCACCACTTCTTTCATTTGGCCGGCTCCAGCACTGTAGTAACATCCTGACATCCTTTGATGACTCTACTGTGAGAGAGCAGTGGTGGTCCAGTTGACTGCAACACGAGTCAGCAAATAAAACATCAGCTATTACTGCTGACTGAGTAGATGGAGTCAAGTATACAGTACAGGCGGTCCCCGGGTTACATACAAGATAGGGACTTTAACTCCCTAGTTTGTACTTAGTGACATTAAACCCTCAGTTTTTTTAACATAAACAACCATGGATTACAGTAAGGCGCACATTACAGTATTGGTTTAGGTTAAAAAATCTGAGGGTTTCATGTCACTTTAAGTTGAATTTGTATGCAAGTCGGAACAGGTAAATATTTTAAGTGCAACTCCAGCCAAAAATGTTTTTTCCATTTTGGATAGCATAGGGAAGGGTCATGGTTTGATTGACAGCAGGCAGTGGGCGGATACAATAGCCAGCTTGCTATTGGCTATTGCATTTTACAATATCCAATAGCAGGCTGGGTATGGCTCCCAGCCTGCAATGAAGAGTAGGCAGGGGGGCGGGGCAGAAGAGCCGCGGCTGGACCAGGAGACCGGAGGATAGTCAGGAACCGGGGAAGCCGACAGAACGGCTGAAGAGGAAGCCGGCACATCAGCGGTCTGTGTCCCCGCTGCCTCCGCCAACACAGGCGCAGAGATTTGAAAGGGCACAGGCCGCTGCAGCCACAGTTCTCCTAAATGTACCAGCGGGTGGCAGTCCAGCCAGAGCCTTTTACAGGCAGTCCCCGGGTTACGGACAATCCGTACTTACAAACGGGGCCCACAGTTCTATGGACCCCGTTCGTAAGTACGGATTGTCCGTAACCCGGGGACTGCCTGTAAAAGGCTCTGGCTGGACTTCACAGAGCTTCTACATTGCTATACTGTATCTCACTGATTGATACATGAGGCTCTTAGTTAAGAGGAATTGAGGAGAATTTATCAAAACGGGAGCAGCTGTGCATGGCAACCAATCAGCATCTCTCCTTCATCTTCAAATCTTAACTGAACAAACTGAAGAGAGAGACTGATTGGTTGCCATAGGCAAAGGCTCCAGATTCTGTCTGCTCCAGTTTTGATAAATCCCCCCCCCCCCCCCC